CGAAAACCGGTTACGACAGTACGGATTGGACAGAGTTTGAGACTAGACTGGTCCCTTTATTAGGGCAGTAAATGAAACAAGACCGATCGCGAGCTATTCCAGTTCGACGAGTTATATAAGACTTTTATGTTTTTAAGTTCAAGTTCGAACTTGAGCGTCAATTGAGTTAAGTCTGAGAATGTTTCAAGTTTAAGTTTTTTTTAGCTCGAGTCGAGCTTCAACTTTTTATTTTGACTCGAACTTGAAAATTTTTAAATTCACGAGCTTTCGAGTCAAATCAAGCTTGATAACTTTAAATTTATAAATTTTCAAATAGAATTGATTTCATTTTTCAAGCCGAGTCAAGCTCAGTTATACTCGAACTCGACTAAGCTCGTTTATAACCCTAAGCCTTCCTAAGTTTTTACACTAAAGCAAATACTTTTTCATAAATTGAAAACTCTCTTCACTAGCACCGTAGCACACTAGCTTCATACAAATATAATCTTATATAACAAAAAAAAAAGATCTAGATTTAAGTAGTTGCGTTTATCTAAACGTATGTGTTATCAATTGATTAAGAATTATTTTTCTTTTAAAAGGAGCTTTGTATATATTAAGTAGAGAACACATACAAAATCCAATCATAAGGATATTGTTAAAAAACCTTCCTAAGCTTAATTGGAGGAAAAAGAATTCACCTTACCATTGTCAAACAACATTGACATAATCAAACATAAAACGAATCAACTCTACACAGCTCAAACATCGTCGCACAAAAATGAGCATCATAGCAGCACCATTTTCGCATTCGAACCTCACTATGGAACCATAATATACCCGACCAGTTACATGACTTTAAGAACGACACAAACAGAAGCAAAAAGCAGAACACTACCCTCCCCAGAAAACCAAATACAGCACACTTTAGCAACAGCAATATCGATTTTCAAGGCCACTGTTGGAGCAAAGCATAAAAACCTGCAACATAACTGTCGAACCTCGGGTTTCATACCGAAAAGCAAACAACAGACCACAAACATGCTTCTCTGTCACAATCTCCACCACAGCCAACTAGATAAAATCCATTCATCCCTCCCAGGCCAAGAGTAGGAGATAACAGTAGCTCAAAACAACCAATATTCAACCATTCATTAAGCCACCAAGCGAGAACCAGAACTATCCCATGAAGCCGCTATACAGAACCAGAGAAACAGGTATTTTCTAGCAAACCCACTAAACAAACAATCATGACCAGCATGTCTTCTATTGGGAGCTACATTGAAACATAACAGAGCACTTACAACACCAAAAATCAATCTACCTTACTCAGCACAAGGTAATGCGTGTAATCGACCAGACGATAGGGAGAAACAGCACCAGCTCAACACACACATAAGACACAGCCTATTCAAATACCAGACCAGTGTCAAAGCGACCACAACTCGAACACCCGAAAGAGACATCCATGCCATCCACCTTTAACCAAACCATAGAGGTGCATAGGACAGCAAAAAGGCAACTAACAAACCAGAAGAGTATCACTGGCTAAAAAACAATCAACTACTTAGCAAAAGGCATTTGTAGAACCATCCCAACTAACCCACATCTAATCCATACCTACTAACAGATACTACACAATGTACACATTTCCAACTCAGAAACACGTGCAAATACTTGCACAATAAAACAATGGCAAGCAAAACCAAAACCATGCTCATCATATCTTTCAATTCAAGACCACAGTATCAAGCACCATGCGAAATGACCAAACTAACCACATTGTCATGATCCTGTCAAGACACAACATAAACTCACAATGACCAAAGCCAAGATAATATCAAAGAGAAATCTGCACATTATGATAGCCTTCCAAACAAACACCTCCACCTTAGGCGGAGCGAGATTGGACCATACAAGAGTCCAGAACTTGTCTCTCTCTATCTCAGTACCCACAACCACTGAACAGTAAACACTTGAAGTATATAGCCCATTTGTCGACCCTTACCACCTCAATCTATCCCCCTCACAATTAACTCTTGTGCCATTGTTGATTATACGCATAAAATCATCCCACATATTAAGCTCCCAAGTAAACAAAGCTCTCCTAATCTCAATTTTCCATTTCCATCTACCATTCACGTACAAACCGAACTCAGCCACTTTACCACATTTTTTAACCGCCACACTAAAGATTCTTGGAAAAGTCACTTTGAGAGAAGGTACCTCAGTCCAAAAATCTTCCCAAAAATCGGTGAAATGCGCCTCCTCAAGAGAAATTCTAAGATTACTGCTAAAAGGGTCATCCTCTACTGACAACGGCTGAATTATATTCCTCCACAAACGTGATACTTTATTAGGAGGTAACGGTTTTGGGATCAAAGAACATTCATTATATCCGTATTTAGCCACCACAAACTTTTTCCATTGACTTTCAGGCTCCCTCCCGAACCTCCAGATCCACTTATTTAAGAGGGCTCGATTTTTCACCCCAAGATCCACCACCCCCAAACCTCCTTGCGATTTAGGTCTACACACCCTTTTCCAATTAACCCAGTGAATGGCCTTGCTATTACTAGCGCCCCAAAGGAAGTTTGAAATAATACTTGTCAGTTTCGAGGACACTGCAACTGGCATTTGATACAACGAGAGATAATACACTGGCAAATTTGAGCACAGATTTAACTAACGTTATCCGACCACCAAAAGATAGAAGCTTTCCTTTCCAACCCTCGAGGCGCGAAGAGACTTTCTCTACGATTGGCTTCCATAAATCAACTATATTCCTAGACTGACCGAGCGGCAACCCAAGATAGATAGTAAGGAGCTTATCCCAACCACGTTTTAAGGCCTCAAAACAACTATCCTCTATGTTGATCCCAAATAACTCTGTCTTTCTAAGATTCAAGCTAAGCCCATCAGCGATCTCAAAAATTCTGAGGAGTCTTTTGATGTTAATTATGGAATCATCTCTCTAAAATTGGTATCAATATTTCTTTCAGTAGTATCACGGACATAAGTAGGAATTGTGATTAGATAACGAAAATCGATAACATTTGACAACAAAATAGCAAACATAATACGGTCATTGTTAAACATGTGCTCATGAAATTGTAGAAGAGCCCAAATTAAAGAAAATAACTATTACAAGAGTTGGCTTCATTCCAACAAAATCTCACTACCATGGGTTGTAAATATTCATTTTTTTTCCCTCTAAATAAAATCCTAAAATATTCGATTCCAGAAACAGTTAATTTTTTTAATATTCGGTTAACGATTAATTAACCGAAAATATTTAATATCTAATATATTACATATATTAAATACTTTTTTTAAGCTCAATTCTATTAGGAATTAATACCTAATTATTTTTTGGCCACACTAAAATCACTAAATTATCAAGAGATAATTAAAATTTAACCCAAATAATAAATACTTCTAATAAACTCAAATTAGTTTAACAAAATTATCAAGACGAAATATACAAAGTTTTGATCCAGATTTTAAAGAGACTGGAAGCGTGGTACAGGAAGGCCACCGTCTTCGATCAAAAGCAAGCCATGCAATAGTAACGCGTACTGCATGGCAAGAAAATAAACTGATCGGGGTTAATCGTTGTATCCCCTGGACTAGCTGTATGTGGAGGATCAAGGGATTCATAAAGGCGATTGGGTACTGTTCGATTCTTGAAGTCGAGTTGTGGGGATTGTATGAAGCCTATAAACGGCATGGAATCATAACTTGAAAGAAGTTTAATCTACTCAATCGGGGCGAGGATATGGAAAATCGCTCGCCACACATTGTTAATCTAATTGGTCGAGAATGGAGATTAATTTTCTACTTTGTGCCGAAGAAAGGAAACAAAGCTTGCGGACGGATTAACCAAGATTGCATAGGCTCCCTTTCAATATTCATTTTTTCAACCAACCGCTAGAGGAACTAAAACCAATTCTGTTATCAGAGGAGATAAACAGGATCCAGTATCTACCCGCTCCACATAATGATGCCAGAGTTCTATAGGATTTGTTAGCTATATCTCTTCATATTCAATGCATATATATATATATATATATATACAAATATATAGACACGAGGTAGGATCTAATTACAGTGTAAAACATTTTAGTTTTACTCTTTTTTAAAGATCGTTGGATGAGGGAAAATCAAAGACTGAGATTAACAATAGAAATGTGAAGATATTCACTGGAAAAAAAGGGGTTAATATCAGTCTTTGATTTCCTTTCATCCAATGATCCTAAAAAGATGTAAAACTAAAAGTTTTACACTAGGTGTAAGTGGATCCTAATCCTATATATATATATATATATATATATATATATTGAATTAACCAAATTTTGTTCAATTCAATTAATATTTTCAACAACAAAAATGTATTCAATTTATAATTAAAGAAAATAAATTCAATTAATCCAATTAATAGAAATTCGGCTCAGTTAATTACCAAATTAATTGATTAATCACACCTACCTACTGGTTCACTCTTGAAGCACTTAATCTCTTACTTTATTCCATCATCGTTGCTTGTCCCCTCCTTCAGAATTAAAACCGGCCGTTTCTCCCGTTAACAAAACTCCAGTTTACAAAATTGAATTTAATAATTTATTTAAAGACTATAAAAAAGTTCTACAAATTCTAATTCAGGAAACTATTATATTCTCTCAATTTCAACATCAAAATACCTTTCCAAATTTGAGATTATATTATGTAATGCAATTGGAAAAAGAAAACTGGAAGAAAAAAACACTTTCATCCAACAAAACTAAACCACTAGTGAAGGTACAAATCCACAACCAAATTATCAAATCTTGTTCTCTCTAAGCTGAATTTTTAAAACACTTTGATTTTTAAGCAGTAATCAGTTGCTTCTACACAAGGTCATGAAAATGTGATAAATGGATTCCATGAGTAGCTTTATGTTATCTCCAGATTATTGGAAGTTGCTAAAGTTGGTTCCTCTACAATGTATTAATTGATACACTATAATCACACTTGCATGCATATCACATTCACAAAGGCCTTCATTTTAAAAAATACAAAATACAACTCAAGGAGTACTTGTACATTGTCCAACACATTTATTTGATAACTAGCTATGGCCAAAATTAACTTCCTATAAAACAAAAAATTACAATAACATTACACATAACACCGCTGGATGGATGTCCCTAATGCCTTGCTGCTTAATAGCTAGCTACTACACAACAAAACTATGTCAGTCAGGCCACTAAAACCTAGTAACTACAACTACTTGTGAGGGTGGTAATTAACATCTGATTCCCAACGAAACAGGTAATGAAATGACATATTCATGCAAACAATTTAGAGGTAATAATTATTAAAATTCACCAACCTAAATATTATTAACTCGAATCCTCAAATCATTTCTGTGTTTGAGCAACATATCATGAATGTCTTCTGCTGTTGGGCGGTCAACGGGATTTTCCTCTGTACATTGGCGGAAGATATCAACAAGAAATCTGATTGTCTCAGTTTCGGCCTCTGTCCCAGATTGGGTCATTGCAGTTTCGGTCAATGATTCCAATGCCTCCAGCTCCTCAGGTAGTCTTGGACGTTTGCCCATCTGCAAATATAGATCAGAAGAAACAACCTGCTTAGACCAAAGGTCTTCGAAAGAAGACGTGATCACTTCAGAATTATTGATTGCTGATACCTGAATAAGGTCATGAATGTGCAGCTCTGATACCCCAGAATAAGGAAGTTGGAGAGTCAACAATTCATAAAGCAGGCATCCAAATGACCAAATATCCACTTCCTGCAACCAGTTAGATACATACTTCACATCCACATAAGCAAAACAGTCTGTAAAATACAGAACCAAGCAACATGATCAATTCAAGCGGATACTAAATGCTACTCCTAAACATCCTACACACTTAACCTCTCTCCTTCCTCTCCTGTCTCTACTCAACACATATTAAACATTGACATATATAGTAAATCATCTTTTTTTTTTATAATTGAAGGCCTCATTAAAAACCCCCTTCATGATTAAGGAACTCAAAATGATTTCCTTAATCAGAGGAAGGAGGAAAAGAGTGCCTTATACTTCATTAATAAAAAAGATACATAAGATTTAAAACATCAAGATAAAACCCTTAAAAACAACCCGAAAACCCAAAATAAAAAACCCCTAAGAACCACACTGAAATTAGCCTATACCAGACATAGCCAGCCCATCTGCCTCTATATTAGCTGTCCTGGCAACCCATCTAATAACACCCTCCAATTCTTTAAGCCTATCAGCTATATCCCTGACAATGTTCATCTTTAACAATGTTCATGTTACTCGAATCATTTTTTCACCAAATCAAGGAATTATATCATCAATCCAAAAATAACTGATGAAATGGAAGAGAAAAAACATACCAGTCCATAAGGATTACGCTTATTCATTGCATGTAAAACCTCAGGAGCCATCCATCGAGGTGTTCCAACACAAATATCTGGAGGAGGTATCCCTAAATGAGCAATGCAACATGTATGCAGGAAAGACCTAAGAGGTACTGCATTATCAAAATCACAGAGCTTCACGATCGGGCTCCCATCAACTCTCTTCCCAGACAAATCAATCAGAATGTTTTCACTTTTTATATCACGATGAATAATATGCTTCGAGTGCAACTCTGCCAGTGCAGAAGCAACATCACATGCAATACACAATGCAAAATCCACAGGGACATGTTTCTCACCAGCTTTAGCTAGTTTCTCAATATGAGCCTGCTCATAAGCAACAGGATAAATAGGTTTAAATGCAAATCAAGTAACGATAAGGTAGCATAAAGAACAAATCATGTAACCATGAGGAAGCTTTATTAAAATATAAGCACCTTCAAAGATCCTCCTTTTATGTACTCCATCAAAACAGCAGACTGCAGGATTCGACGTTCTGGTTCTCCATCCCCTACAGAAATCCACTTTGAAGATATCTGATGCCCGTACATTTCCACTATGCATGTGTGTTTTAAAGAACCCAGTATTCTTACTTCCCCCAGGCAACTATACTCAAATTTTTTAACCTCATCGAATGAAGCACCATTTGTTTCTAGAGTACGCACCTGCAAATCCATATTAAATAAAAATTAATTGCTATAAAGGAAATATCGGTTAATTGAAAAAGCATGAGGATATCATGACTACAAAATCTGCATCACAAAATATCACTTAACTCACATATCTAAAAACCCAATAAACAATCTAAAATTCATCAATCCCTATTGCCGGCATTACAATCTAAACCTGAAGATGATAACAAACCTTTGCTGCAGCATCCATTGATCCAAATTTGCATCGAATGATAGAACTGGAAGCCACTCTTTCAATTTCATCACTTGTGGTCATAGAAGGGAAAGAACTCAACACAGGAAGGCTTTCAGATGCAAGAGATGCTTTTGTTCGACTAAGGGGAATGTATCTATAACAGAAAGCAGATAGCTATTAGAACAATGAAAACATAAAAACTCTTTTTCACAACATCACATCTAATCTAAAACACACAGATCCATTTATCTCTACAAGACAAAAGGAACAAATAGTTCAAAAGAAACGTTAAATTGCTAATAATTATAAAATGTTTAACACATTACAAGCTCTCTTTCCAAATTCCATATCTGCAATGGTACAATGAGAGCAATCTTTGACCCAAACTAATTGATTATGCTAGAAGCAGAAGAGAATCTCCAAAAACAATTTTTAAATAGACATATTAAAACATTTGCATCAAGAAATTCACCTGCAAAAGTATTCAGGATCCATCTCTTCACGTATGTCATGCGGGTGACAAGCATCAACCACCATGCGAACCCATGAATCACCCCTCTTAAGAGGAATGACATTCCAGGCATGGGGCATAAAATCCAAGTAGCCCCTGATCAGCTCACAAGGAACCGGCGGTTCCATTCGATCACATAAATACTGCAGCAATTGAAATTATACCAGGTCTTAATAAAAAGATGTCAATGAAATAAATTGATAATATCAAAAAAAATGAAAAGAGAACAGGGAAAAAATCACCTTCATTAGCAGTGCTCTATGCCTACACACACCAAATTGAAGAGTACCAATAGGAACAACAATGGAATTACGCCTTGACTTTATTGAATGTAAAGATCTCTCACAGAGCTCGGATAAAACAATATCTTCTATGGTATCCAAGGTTTTGTTAGACGCACTAGAGCTGTCATTATTTCCGGTTGAGCAGGTGCAAATGAAAGGCTTCTTATAGTTAGAACCAGATACTGCTTTCCGAGTCCTCTCTACAATACCACTTCTATCACTCCCTCCAAAATGATCCGATACAAAAAGAGCAAGCAATGACGCTATCTGAAAGTTATCAACAGCAACCCGTTCCTTATCTTTAGATAAACCATTCAAGTGCTTCAAATGAAATACCATAGCTTGAGCAGAGAGAGCAATTGCATCTAACTCTTCATCTCTTTCCCTAAAGAAAAGATATAATCATTACTCAACTAGAAGATCAGAAATATAATTTGCAAATCCCTAAAGCAGAATCTAGTACTCTTGATTTACAAAGCAACTTAAGTCCTACCACAAATGTAAAATTACCTGTCCACAAGAATTACTTCACGTGAATCGAGATTAAAGATCTGCTCATAGCTAGTCAAGGGCATGAAGGGACGATCGCGCCCAGCATCATAAAACCCATCTGTCAGGTAGTCTTCAGTTCCACAAAACGAAGTGGTACTATACTTTTGTGATATATTGGAGCAATAATCTGTTGGTTTCCGAGACTTGCATGGTTTTGGATTATTAAGATCCCTCTCAGAATGCCTTTTTGACTTAAAATTAGACTTGGATATTTCTGAGGATGAACCTTCATCTGGTTCAATAGCTCCTCCTCCTCCTCTTAGCAGGGCCAAAGATGCATCAAGCTGAGAAGATTCATCTTCACTCCTCAACTCATGACCAACTGAGGTACTATTTTTTACATTGATTCCCTTTTTATAAGTAAGTGTATCAACCTCATGTCTAACACTACTTATTTTGTCATTTTTGACTTCTGAGAGAGGTAATGGCTTATCATCATCTTTGCCTATAAGTTCAGATCCAGCTTCCACACCAGTGTCAGAGGCCAGTACATCATTATCACCGGGAGCTTCTCCATCTGCCTTCAATGTAATCACCTCAGCATGTCCTTCACCTTTCCACTTCCTGCTGTTATTTAGGCGTTCTTGCCGAGCTCTTTGTTGCAGATAATGTCTCCTCTTCCATCGTTTACTTGATCTCCGAGATGCAAAACATCTACTATTTCCCAGTGGCACGGTTAAGATGCCTGAAGAGATCTTATGAGAGCCTACTTCAAAATTGAATAGAATAATTTAACTTCACTATTAGGTAAAAAATGCACGAGAATGGGAAATAATATCATGACAGAAGCAATAGAGAAATGTCATGTATCATGAACTTACCGTTGTAAGAAACACTTCCATCAGTATCCTGAGCAGAAGCTTCATAAACATCCATTTCAACTGAAGAACTGGTGAGCTCAACACTAGATGAGCCTAAGCCATTTCCTTCCATATTGCAGCATACCCAAGAAGGTATTTGAAAGCAACTTGCAATTTTATTGTACTGGAAAATGGTGTATATGCATGAAAAAGGGGAACGAGATTAGCTTCAAAAACTACCGATTACCATAAAAGATATCTGCTTCAACAAATCCAAAAACGAAACAGGAATCGATACTTATTGCATACTTTGTGCAACACAGATACAAAGTAAAATAGCACAAGTTGGAATCTAGCATATAAAATGGCACATCTTTAGGACTTAGGATAACAGGAAAAATACTAATGACAACTAACTTTAAGTGCAACGAAAACCAAGCACAAAAAATAAATATGATGTGGCATAAAAGATACAAACCAATTAATATATAATCAAATACGAAGCAGTAATGTCTATATCAGTTTAGCACCAATGCATTTTGCTGCTAAGGTAGAAATATCATGCAAGTACACCTGGAAATAAAATTTTAGTTGAAATGAAATTATCTGCATCCTACAGAATCATATGGGCAGTACTTCAAGTTAGGACTACCAAAACTGATCAGGACAAGCAAATAACAGGTGATGAAAATATCAAGTAAAATTGCTAATTTGAATCCATTACAAGAGATTCCGGGATAGGGATCCATCTAAGTCTTTGTTTATGATAAGCACCTGAAGATTCAAAGTCTGAAGATTATGCATTATACTAAGATCAAGAGAACCCAGTGAAGTCAACCTATTATTTGACAACTCCAAGTTCTTCAATCTTTGCAATGAAGACAAGCCCGAAGGTAATTCCACCAATTTATTATTTGCAACCTTCAACGAAATCAAGTCATTCAAATAACTTATTTCAATTGGCAAACGCTTTATTTTATTGAAGGACAGATCCAGATATTCCAAATTCTTTAAGCATCCAATTTCTGGAGGAAGGTATCTGCAAGAAAACAAACACAAAAGGTCATACATTTATCCCATGCCTTGCACACGCACATATCTACCCCATCAGCATAATGGACTGGACCCAAAAAATATTGTTTCTTGCTTTCTTTACAGTTCATCCAAATACATTATCCAAATAGTAGTAATAAGTACTACTATTAGCATAATCTTAGATAAAACTTTCCACTACTTAAATCTCCATTATTTCATATATAACTTTGAGGTTTTGTAGCATTAAAAGCACAAGATTCTTTTAATCAGATTCACACTTTAAAATTGGAAAAAATCAACTAGTAGAACAAACAAACCAAAAAAAATCCTTCACTACCATAACATTGCATAAGAATAAAATCACATGTGCTGAAAAGATAACCCAAAACATTAATATAAATTAAAAATAAAATAGCCAAAGAGTTGATAAAACACATACCTAATAGAAAAATAACAAACGGAAAGCTTGGTCAAGCACTTAAGCCCAGAAATCTCACTCAAGAGAGTCAATACAGAAGATCGAGGTGGAACCCTACTAAGTTCCAGGTCTTTCAACCCTTTCAACTTGGTTAAAGACATTCCATTGATCCCCGGCGACGATACCTTCACCTGTAAACACTCTAATCCCACCAAACCCCCCATTTCGGCAGGAAACAAATTAATTTCGTTCCCAAAAAACTTCAAATTTCTTAACCTACTGAATGCCCCAACCGATTTCGGAATCAAATTGAACACGTTCTTGTACAAATAAAGCCCGTCCACGGACTCCTTCGAATCCCCCAATATGGAAAATTCCACACTTCTTTCGGAAACATCGAGAACAGTTACTTCTTCCGTACAACTATTACTGCGGTCGTTGTTGGTGGTGTTGTCGTGAGCATTTTTGCCTTCGACGGCAGTGGTTTCGGCTGTGCTATTAGAGTCATTTCCGTCATTGTTTTCGTCATTTTTTTGGTTGGAGTTTTGGTCGGGAATCTCCGGGAGGGTCTCAATGATGTCGGTGGAATCATGGAGCTGCATTGGATTTGTGGACAAATTTGTAATTTTGGGGACGGGAAATGGAAAATGAGGAGAAGAAAAGAGGGACTCAGGAGGGGAGATAGGGTTGGGGATAGGGGTTTGAATAAGAGATCTGTTTGGAAGGAGGGAAAAGCGTGGGAAAATTGGCGAGAAAGGGAGCGGAGAGGGAAAATATCGGAAGGAACCGCTCCCCTGGCTTTTTTAGCAGAAATGAAATAGAAACCCTAGAAAGTAGACGAACGTACTACTTCTATACTTCAATTTTTTCTTTTTCGTTTTTACCTTTATGATAAAAGTTTCAGGGTAAACGACGTAAATGATCACTCGACTTTCTTTTTCCTCTTGTTTTTATCACTAAAATTTAAAATCTTCTAATTTAATAACTGAACTTTATACATTGAACTTTTTAGTCACTTAATCGTTAACTTTGTAACGGCGTTATGACTGTTCGACAAAATGTTAATCCAAGAAGTCACGCATGAAGTGCTTCATCAAGCTCGTCACTTACCATCATCTGATGCCCGCGTGCTACACCCTTGACATGGTTTCCGTCGATGCTCTTCGGACCAAGGACAAGAAAGTGGTTGCTTGCAAGGCAACCAAGGAGAGATTTGAAGAGAGGTTCTAGACTGGAGAGAAAATGTGGTTCTTTACTATGCTTAGGTTTTGAGGCCATTGCATGCGTTGCCAAGTCTCCATTTCTTCCGTTGAAGCTAGAGGAGCAATGGATAAAGTTCCTTGGCAGAGTCTTTAAATGCATCGCTGGTGAGATGACCAATGCTTGAGGAGTCTGTTTCTATTCTTCGAAATAGCCGTCTTGAAATCGCTTTCCAACACAATCGAGGTTAAGACGAGGTCCGTCGTAAATTGCAGGCCATGTATGATTGCTAGTGCCTCCTCAAAGAAAACTGAGGTAATGTTGTAATTTATCCGTTGTCCAGTGCCATGAATATTGCCTTTATCATCTCTCACGATGATGCACCACTATGATTTCTTTTCGTTGCAGACAAAACTTGCACCAACATTGGACCAGAGCATGAAAGTGTGGATGTCCGACGTCTCAGTGAGGAGAGTTTTGGACTCGGTATGATGATTTTGGATAAAGGTAACTACATTTTCAATGTCCTATCCTTCATGCTCGTGAACATATTTATTTCGAAAGAACCAGATGGTATCTCTACAAAAATTGAGGAGAAATCATGACATGACATATATAGGAATAACTTGGAGAACCGATTTAATGAATATTTCTTTACCTTCAAGGGAAAAGAAGGGAGTACTCCAATCGTTGATTCGTCTTAGAAATTTATCTTCTAAGCTTAGGAAAGCCCTTTTCTTGTTATGCCCTATCATACATGGAAGGCCAGGGTAAGTCTTTGGGTTATCCATGTCAAAAACACTTAATATTAGGGTGATCATTCGATCGAGTCGAGTCAAAAAATTTTGAGTTATTCGAGTTGAGGAGTCATATTTTATAACTCAAATTTGATTTGAAATTTTTTCGAATCGAGTTGTTCGAGTTTTTATTTAAATTTAATTGTAAATTTTTATAATATTATGGTACTATTTGATTCTAATTTAAACAACTTTCTATAACTATATAAAATATATATACATTTCTTCGTATTTTTTCATATGTGATATATATAGGTCATACATAGTCAAGAGACTCGACTTAAAGTTAAAGATCATTCCATTATTTACTAAAAAAATTAAGTTATTCGAGTTCTATTTTATAATTCGACTCGAATTTGAATTTTTTTAAGTCAATTCGAATTTATGAAATTACGACTTGAAATTAATTTGAGTCGAGTTGAAAAGATCGATTTTTAATAGAGTTGAGTTTTCTTCACCCCTACCCAATATATTACAAACATTTGTCTTGTTAGAATCTATGACATTTGATTCCAGAATTCCTTTTAAGTTCTGCTCTCATGTGGTTGATGCTTCCCCAAAAATTAAACTTTCACATGCGAAGAAGACTAAGGGTCTATTTGGAACGGGGAAAATAATTTACGGAAAATGTTTTCCCCGTTTTCAGGTGTTTAGTTCGTGTAAAACACCCAGGTCAACGGAAAATGAAATCCGGTCAATGGAAAACTGAGAGTAAAACACGGTATTTCGACTTACCGTTTGGAAAAAGGTAAGTCGTTTTCCAAATTTCTCGTGTCCCTTGTTCCACACAGAGAACACGGTAATTTCTTTCTCCCTTCCCTTGCTCCACACGGGAAAATCGATCGACTGTTTGGAATCCTTCTCACCGGTGAGACGGGTGGTCGTCTCCTCAGGTATGTCTCATTTCTTCTTCTCCATTTTCAACTTCCTTGACCTTCTTTTCTTGTTTTATCTTTCCCTAATTTTCCATTTTCAATTTCACCGACGGGAAAGCTGTTATTTATGGGCCGAAAGCTGGAACCAGAAAAGAATGAAAACCCCGAGAAAGCTTGCATTGAAGTTATTTGGAAGCCTAAAACCGAACAAATAGGTGATTTCTTAACACCCCTTTTAATTATTCTTGCGTTTGAAGTTTGGTAAACTGGGAAATTTCTAAAATATGTACATTGGTGTTTAGGGAAACTAGAAAAGGAATATGAAATGATATTGAAGAGAACCATGCAGAGTATTTGTATTTTGACTGTTAATCCAAATACTACAACATCAGTTATAATACAGGTCAGTTATTTGTTAGCTATTTGTGGAAAAGTATATCTTGTTTATGGCCGAGTTGTTCATAGATCAAGTTTTTATGTTTTGTATTGCAGGTTGCCAACGATGATGGTGTTGTATCTTTTATGCATTTCCCTTAGGATTGTTTTACAATTTCATTTATTTGTGCCATGAGTTTCGGTTTTCCAAAGATTAGGCTTCCAGTGTTTATAGTTTTCCAAAGATTAGGCTTCCATATTTGTTAGTTATTTGTGGAAAACTATACTTTGACTGCAGTTGTTTACAACTCAGTGCTGCTGTAACACCCCAACCCGTACCCGACCTGGATACGAGTCTGAGGTGTCACATTGACTACTCAAACATTTACTTTTACAAAATATCCAAGATTCAGTTTGATATTTCTAATAAAACCATTTATTTTCGATGATATAAAACATATGCTTTTACAAAACTGATCAGAGCATATCTAATACAAATATTTTAATTACATGCCAACTAAATTCTATATATAACAAAATACATGTTATTCATTTAGGTTCTGATCTGACCTTCGGTAAAGAGAAATTAACATGTCTTGCTCCTCTTAGCTTCTCTTCCTGCTTTCCTGAACCTATGTGTGAAACACTCACACGCTAAGTCATAGACTTTGTGAGACATATAAATACATATGTAAATTATCAAATGCATGTACATATCATGTAATACAACGTCATACTGGTATACATATTTTTTCATGTAACAATTACATACACACATGCATGTCACCATTTATATTTTCTCATACTCTTATATGATTATCCTTTCTATCTCTTATCTCTTGTTCATATGATCTCTTATTTTCATATTCTATATCTTATAACATGTTCTTACATCATCATATGAGTCATTGATATTCATTCATATATATACCTTAACATATATTCATGTACATCCCATAACAAATGCCATAACCCATAACGCACATTCTTTCCTGTAACATATACACACATTCACATATATCATCATATATAACATGTAACACATTTCTCATTGCAACTCACATTTTATCGTTATCTTTTTGGTTAGCCCATGCACACTATTGAGAACTTAAGGTATATGAGTACATAGAGGTTGTGCACTATGCTGTCATCACAGCTCGTATAATTCCCCCTAGGGGCGCGTAGAATTTGTCCCGAATGACCACGTAGATGTCCCGAAGGACCACTTATAACACATATGTCCCGAAGGACCACTATGTCTCAAAGGACCGCGTAGACCCTCGACTCTTGGCATGCCAACTATACCTATAGCTCTCATAACACATGACATGGGCATTATCTTTTACCTCATTACACATTCACATATTCATATCATATAGACACAGAGTCACGTAGTTTACTTTCACGTAGCATTTTTTCATGAAATTCACATTCATGTATCACATAACTTTCCACTTGTACTTGTATTCTTTTTTTCACATAGCTCATATAACATACATAGCATATCGTGTAACGTTCTCATAGAAACACATATGAGTCATATCACTTTCACATTGATTTTATCATATATCTTATCTCTTATGATCATATAACCTATTATCACACATACATGCATTCACAAAGTTCACATATAAAGATACATTCAACAATTAAACCTATGCATTTACTCATATACTTCTAGCACCATATTATTACAGGATCATACTCATGTACTCTTAAACATCATTATACTATACTTATATTATTGTACTCATGTCATCTATTATCGGAATTAGACTCATCGCAAGTCTTAATTTTATAAACATCATGTACACTTAATATCATGTACTCACATGGTCTCACTAGTCAATACCGATCTGTTATCTTTTCCTTGATCGATCTTATTTGCCAAGTTCCGGAACTTGTTTAGGCTCTGAATCTACATAGTAACTCATTGATACTAATCAATATATTACTTAATATATTCTAAACTATCATTTCTTGGGCTAAAAGAAGAGCCATTTTCATCTTTTAATGAAGGTATGCATCGATGCATAAATCTTATTCGATGTTTACATTTAAGGGGGTGCATTCATGCACTACTTGTGCATCGATGCACTAATGGCATTCGATGTTCGTATTTTAGAAGAGTGCATCGATGCACTTCAGGTGCATCGATACACCTTGAACAATTTCTGGGATTTACTCTTGATGCATCGGTGCACATTGAATGTGCACCGATGCACATAGCCCATAATTCCAATTTATACCTGAAAATTCACTCTTTTCAACTTAATTACTTCATATATCATCCTCTTTCTTATTCTTAACTTACATATACATGTTTAAACTCATTTATATTCATTTATCTCGTCTTTAACCTTAATATCCTCTCCTCTTCATTAACTTCAAGAATCATACCAGATTTTCAACATGTTTTAAAACTCATTCTATCACTTCACATCTCTTAATTTAACCCTTGACAAGTCAAATTCAACTTCAAAATCTATTAACCCCTTCTATTTCAAAAATTCACTTAAAAACTCATTTTCTTTAATCTCTTTTATATCTTTCATCTTGTTGTTTTAGAACAAATTAAGTTTTCCTTAAGCTTAATTATCCTCTAATGATCATAACCCAACCTTAAAATCAATAATTAATCCACAAGCAAAGAAACTCACCTTTGAGCTTGGAGATACGGGAGGAAGAAGAAGGAGACTGAAGAATGCTCTGTAGAAATTATCTCCTTCCCACATGCTTATTACCCTTTATAAAGGGAAATACAAAAATCTTTCCTAAAAAATGACCATAATACCCTTATTACTTCAAACTTTGTTATTTAAATCCAACATCAATACTTTTCATTTAAATCCCTAAACTTTCAATCTCTTATGAGATTGGTCACTAAATTACCAAAAATTCTATTTTGGTCATTGACCCGACTTTTGGGATGTTACAGCTGCTTTATATAGGAATGAATTGAGTTACCTTGGTTTCTTGTAAATTTTGTTTAGATCCTATTTGCCGATATTGATGTCTTTCATAATAAGAGAAAATGAAGGCATTTGCATATTTAGTCTTCTCAAACTCAGTCCATTCAGTCCTTCCTGAAGATCACCAAGTGTGCAAGGTGAACTTATTCAAAATGGGATTATTACCTCTGTTACTCACGATATAATGTCAGGTATTCATTGTTGTCTATTGGTCTTTACTTTTTATTTTAAGTTTACTTTGTGGCTGCAGTCACATATAATTGCAAAGATTTTCATGTTTTTGGAGATTTAAGGCTACTATCAGATAAACGAAATGCATCACTTTCATTGGCTTTCATTCTGGACCAAGAACTTGTGAATTGATAATACCAGCTTCAATGAAATGAAGTTGCTTGCCTTTGAAGTCTTTCTTGCATGGAATTTGGGTGTTGTAACAACTATGATGTTTATTTTTGGCCTCTTGAAGTATTAGTCGGGCTTAAATAATCTGTGATGCAATATTTGATTCTAATATATTCTTTATTTGAATCCTTCTTCCAGTGGATGATTATTTTTACTGCCTAGAACGAGGGCGTGCTGCAAGCACCAAATTGTCTGATTTTCTCAGGAAGAACTTGCAACAACAGTCAACTGATTCATCTAAAGCTGGGTGACTTTATAGCACGCTCAGGAATCTCTGGTTTGTTGAATTTCATATTCTACCGGATATTAGCATTAGCCATAGTTGTACTGATTGATCACTCATTTCCTCATACTTCCACAACCCTTTTGACCAAATTGTATTAGAAGTTTGATGTAAAGATACCCTTATTGTTTCTAAGTTGTGATCTTGCTACTATCATTGTTGTTTAATGAAAGGAAGCCTTTACTTCCATGGCAATTGATTTTTACTAGTCTTTAATGAATCAATCGATTTTTCACTGGTTCGAAAAATCTTTAGATTAATGATATTTGCCTATTCGGACAGAGTACCTGTTCGTAATTCAATTGGTTATGTATTATTGTTGTTTTAATTTGGTGTACTATTAATTAAACATTCTTAGGATTTATAAACTTTTATAATATATTTTTAATCAATTATTAATATTATCTAATATACAGATTTTTATAAAATATAATTATATATAAAAAATGAACCTTTAAAAATAATAAATAATAAAATTTATCTAATATATACAGTTTCTTCATTAAAAACATATTCTGAAAATAGTTTTCAGGAAAATTACCCAAACAGTGTAAAACATTTTACAATGTACCATCCAAACACTGGAAAATGTTTTCTGAAAAATGATTTACATTTCTGTAAAACATTTTCCATATTTTATTTTCCGGAAAACGTTTTCAGTGAACCAAACGGACCCTAAGTTACAAGCAAACACACATCCTATCACCCTTAGTCCATTCTTCAGAAAAATCCATTTTGCGCATGATACTTTCGATAAAATTCCACTCGACGCAATCATATGCCTTGCTCATATCAAGTTTGAGAACAAACGATACGTACCGATTAGTGCATCTCTTTTTAAGAGAGTGAAGGATCTCAAAAGCCGTTATAATATTGTCACTGATTATCCGTCCTGTGATAAATGCATTTTGGACTTGCTCGATGCATAAATGGAGCAAAGGATCTATGCACCGATTAGAAGCATTTATGATGAGAAATATTAGTTCATGTAATGTAGCATGTCAAGCCCAGTTTTAGTGGTAAGCAAACTGCATAAAACTGCTGTCTTGGTTTGAAAATAGGAACCACACTGAAAGTTGCACCGCAAACTTGACCGGAACTGTCCACCCGAGGCATTGCCTTCAACTCATTGAGGGGGTGTTCATAGCTCTTTAACCCACCAGAAGAAGAGAAGAAGCACCCTGAAATAGAAATGGCAGAATTTCCAAACATCATCAGCAATGAAGTTGTCATTGTTCTCCTAAATTTTGCTAATGATCTTATTTAGAATGAACAAACTAAAACATGCATGGACATAAGGAAATAGATGGATTAACCCCAAATTTCAACCATGTTTGAAAGTTAATGGAAACACAGTAACTGTGATAAACAAACCAATATAGGAAGGAAACAAATGTGAATATGTACATATAATATATCACGCATATTTATCCATTGAAATGTATTTATTTCTATGCAAATTAATCTGGTCCCCTCCA